AGTCTTATGAATGCTGCCATAAGGAAAAGGTACACAACTGATTTGTGTTAAAATCAGAATTCTGATCAGGTGACAAATTATTCAACTCCAACATTTGCTACGGAAGTGGTAAATGCTAATGGCTAGAATATAACCTATATTCCACAGCGTCGCTTCAATATGTCAAAAGACCAAATAAGCAAGTGTTTAAATGCCTTTTTAGTGTTATCCTCGTTGCTTATTTTTAAGTCTGATATAATACACATTACCAACTTAGGGGTCCTTAGGAATACACATCCTGGTTAAACAGCAATAGTTCCTTCTGTGCACTTAGAAGAATAACCAATCACATATAGTGTCCTGTGAAAAATAACACAATTTAACGTGAGGACCTCTAGCTTAAGACCTGTAAAAATGCTTCTCAACAGAGTTATTTCACAGATTTAAAAATAAGCCATTTCTTGGAAGGAAAGCTTGAGAATTGCACCTTTGAGAGTAATTGTAGTCATGGAACAGCAGTAATCATGTTTTACACAGCGAGAGGTGTTTCCATGGAATAGCTGATGTTCACCTGAAAGACCAGTGGTGCCATTTTCACAAGTGCAACATCTTCATTTTTAAATGAAACATTTCAAAAATTCATGTCAACAAACATTTTGGGCTTGTTGGTTGTTGTTGCTTTTTTTTTGCAAGGGGGATTAAGTGTTCTGATGAATGCCATATTCACCTTCACATCTGTTTGTAGTGCAAAATGACCTCTGCTAGTGCAGTAAAAGCAAATGGTTAAAGCAGCGTGATTAAATTCATCCCATGGACTGGAGAGGGAAAGGCAGCACAGCTCTCCAGTGTTAACAAACTTTTCACACATTCCAAAGAATTAGCAGCTCCAGCTTTGGTCTATGCTTCCCTACAAGCACTGTGGAAACTATATCCACCTATAACTCCATTCTGGCCTGTGTCTTAAATCTCAGGAGACAGCCCTTCTACTTTGTTGGGTGGTATTTTTTCTGCTCAGTCTTCCTTTCTGTACTCAGTCTTGTTTAAGTAGACTGAGAAGAACGGTATGCATTCCATTTATCAGATTTCTGATTTACAGAGTTGGTAGTGAGCGTATAGAATTTCTCAATTCAGGCTGGAAAAAAAAAAAGCGGTGTTTTTTTAATGGCTTTTGCTTTTGCTGAGTAGGTGTGCAAGAAATTGAGGTCTCTGTGAGAGATTAAGAAAGGAAAGAACCATTTTCACAGCAAATGTATCTTAGAAAAAAGGAAAGAAGAAATAGAAATGTGACTTCAGAAACCTTGAGTTTAAAAGATCTGTCATGTAATATAGCAGCTGGAAGCTCAGACAATGCAAAATATGTGTTCATACAATGCACAATTATTTGAACAACCAAGAGGTTTGCTATGTTTTAGATGATCACCATACTCTTACTGGCAGCTTGGATATGTTCTTTAACATTCTTACCGTTTAAAAAAGAGAAGCATTAATGGAGCCACATTTTTTCAAAATCTCCAGGTTTAACTTGAAATGAAAGGCAAACCCCCAAACATAATTGAATGCAGAACTTTAAATTCCATTTCCATGTTTAGACAATGACATTCTCTTGCTCAACAACATTTGTTGTCCATTCACAACTAGAGTATTAAAAAAGAAATAGGATGTTGTGGTTCCTAATTAGAACATTTGTTTGAAAGAGTTGTCTTCAAGATAAATGCATGGATTTCTCTGTGCTCTTGCAGGAACAATTTTATAGCTGGAATGGATTTGTTGCTGACTTTTCTGAAACAATGTTGACATCTTCTTGAAGTTGTACCCAGCCTTTTCCTGCAAACAATCCTGCAGAGAATCAAAAGAAACCAGATTATCTGGGGTCTGAAACAAAGCAAGTTGTATCAAGAAGCCACTGTTCTGGTTATTCTCTGTTCCAGAGAAAAACTACAATTAGCCTTTCTTTAGACTCAAACCAGGGGAATGTCTGAGATTTCAACTCCCTTCTCTCCATCAGTCAGAATATTGGAAACTCGAGTTAAAAAAGAGCCCTTTAATTTTAGGTTTGAATTTTGTTTCCCTCTGTTTGATAGCTGCCTGCAAAGCAGTATTTGTGCTACAGCACTACAACCACATTCATTCTAGAAATATTTTAGAAAATGATCAAGACTATTTATTTAATAGTACTAGAATGTATAAGTGAGCCTATATTACTCATAGTGAATATATGCTTTGCTGTGTTTTATCCTCATGTCAGTGTAACCCTATTATTATAAATCAAACCGAGGATTTGACAGACTACTTCAGTCACATCTTGCTCACAGCTCCCATTGTTCGCTCTAACATCCACAGCGTGCTGTCTGTAAAGTGAACAAACCCCAACAGATTATTTTGCTTCATTTAACAGCTGGGTGCATCCTGCTGTAACATCAAAGATGTTTTACCTTCTTTGTTTTTACTAATGAACTTACTATCTTACGCAGTATCTCTGAAATTAAAGTAAATTGTTAGAAATGTATTTAAAACACTTACAATTCACTAATATGTAAGCTCTTCAAGAAGGAACTCTGCAATCTTATCTGCAGGAACTAAATACTCTATTTAAGAGGTACATTCCTTATCTGTTGCTTGAACTAAGGAGGGGTGGGGACATTTCTCAACCAATCACCCACTTAGAATGTTTCCAGTTGGAATCACACCTGATGGTTTTATACTGCTGAGTATAATTGTGGTGAAGCATGTTTCATAACAAAACAAAAATAAGGCAAACCTAAATGTAAGCCATTTTGACTGGTAATGCGTTCTTCCCTATCTTTTCTTTCACATATCCATAAGCTGTAATTGGAGCTCAGCTTGGAAGAAGTTTCTTGAAGATACCATTTTCTCAGCATTTGCTCTAAATTACTCATTGAATAGTTTAGTATTTTACTGCTTGTTTTAAAATTACTGACCTGTTTGTTTTATTGCATCCCAAGGAAACACAAGCATGTACATGTAATAAAACTGTTATGATACTTGTTTTTGCACTTTGCATGCTAGATGACTAGGCAAGCAATTATGCTAATCTAGCTGCTCAATGCATTTATGACTTGTGCTGGAGTCAAAGCCACACCTGTCTGCCCTATCTCTAACAAGAAATGGGAGTCTAGGAACAGCAATTCTTCTTAAGTATGGGCAAAACTTCACTAGAGAGTTCATACCTGGCAGATTCTTTCCACTTCAAACATCCCACTCCCCAGATATTTGATCTTTAGGATATCTGATCTACAGGTCACTGGGAAAGGCTCACTGCTGAGTCATGGAGAGAGTTTTGAATACTGTTACGACTGCTTTGCAGTCTTTGAGGGATCCAGGATCTTATTCTAAGAGTAGAATTTCAGGAAAATGTGGCTAGTAAGAAGTTCAGTCGTGTCACACCTCATGTCATTTCATGGGAAAATCCACTGTTCTGCCCTTTCTCAAAGGTCTTCATTTCTTGTGGGAAGAGAGGAAGGATTAGCAAAGATTTGGGAATCATGCTGCCAAGGAGAGCAAATGTTATGGTTGTCTTTTCTTTATATTCTGTATGAAGACAGGTAGAGAGAGCTGGGATTGTTCAGCCCAGTGAAGAAAAGGCTCCAAGGAGACTTTATAGCAGTGTTCAGTACCTAAAGAGGCCCTACAAGAAAGCTAGGAAGGGACTCTATCAGGGATTGTAGTAGTAGGGCAAGGAGTAAAGGCTTTAAACTGAATAAGAGTAGATTTAGATTAGATATAAGGAAGAAATTCTTATGACTATGAGACGCTGAAACAGATTGCCCAAGAGAAGCCATGGATGCCCCATCTCTGGAAGCGTTCAAGGCCCTGAGTTGGATGGGGCCCTGGGCAGCCTGATCTAGTGGGAGATGTCCCTGCCCAGAGCACAGAGTTGGAACTGGGTGGTTTTTAAGGTCCCTTCCAAGTTGATCCATTCTGTGATTCCACTGATTCTGAGCAAACCACTTTAGGATGGGGCTTGGATGTGCTGCAATACAGAAAAAGAGCAAGTTTTAAGAGAGCTGGTAGACAGGTGACCTTGGCTCAAAGGAGGCAGGACAAGCATTGGGTCTGTAGGTATCTTCCATTACAAACAACTTGGAGGTACGGTCTTGCCTTAATGCGCATTTTCCTCTGGATTCAAATCCACATAAATCTGCCTGCTCAGTGCCTAACACTGGCAGACACAGGTGCCTCTGTGCTCAGAGCTCTGCTCAGACCCCTGAAATAATTACTCAGAAGCTTTGGGGTGCCAGCCAATGGGAAACAGCAGGCATGGGGATTAGGTGGAATTTAGGCCAGCAGAATCTGGGACTAAGATCAATACTTAGATTAATTGAAAGTATTATTCAGCTCTCTCCCCCATTTTGGATCAACCAGCAATCAGTCTTTTTTTTCTCCTAGAGTTCTGAACATTCATGCATCTGGGAACAAATGCATCCCAACCTCCTTTAGACTTTTCACAATTAGTCCTACCAGCTGCTCTCAGAACTGCATACCGTCTAGCAGCCATGTTCAGAGCGCAGTGTAGTGGCTGTCAACTGGCCAAGCCTGCACATGCTTTGGAGCTCATCTCTGGTTTCCCAGGGAACCTCTCCTGGGTCCTCTCACAACGTTCCAAGACACCCAGGAGACATTTCATTACTGCCACTGTTCATGGCTTAGTACATCCCGAAGTAATCAGCACATCAAAGGTGCATTTGCATTTTTTATTCTTCAGTTTCTAAAGCAGTAAAATGAATTGCTGGCCATACAAAGCTGATTGTACTTATAGCAGTAAAACTCAAGAGCCTTGCTCTGACGCCTTGAAACTGTCCCTTATTCCTCTCATCTACTTTGCCAGTGTGGGCTCGCACCCCGTACTGCTGATATCCATCTTATTATGGTGACTGGCAGGCCACTGTTTGCCCAACAGCTCCTATGCTCCAATTTATCTATCCACTACCACTCAAGACCTGTTATTCTCCAAAGATCCAGGTCTCTCTCACAGCCTATGCTCCTAATGTCATCCTGCAACCATAACAGCTTGCCTCCTACCTTCCACCAGCAAGCTGAACTTTCTCCAGGGAGTCATTACTGTATACACAGTATCTTTACACAAGAATAGGCTATTTATTTCTTTGAAGAAAATGAAGGATAAAAAATAGCATTGGATATTGGTTTAAATTTTCTTGGTAAGCTTTTCCTTCGAAACGGAATATTTACCAGAGAGCAAATACTTCTGGGAAAAGCAAAGGTTTAATTAGAATGTTTTCAGTCAGTCTTCATATGCATTCATTCATCTGTCTCTAGAGACTCTGGGACCCCTGTCACAGATGTAGGCTTGATATGCACCTTATCTTGTCTTCTCTACACACACTGGTCACAGATGTCTGAATACTACATTTTCCATGGCAGGCTGAGGCTTTAATGCTTTCCCCTGGAGGAGAGATAAGAGCCGGAACATGTGTAGAATGCATTACCTTTTCATTTGCAATCAGTGATGTGTAAAGTTTCTAAAAGTTGTCAACACTCTTGTGATATATTCTATCTCCATTAGAGAGAGAGAGTGGACAGGGATACATAGTCAGATGATTTTTTTGGTGAAGAACCTCTCTTACCAGCCCAGGACCATCCTCTATCACATCTGTCTTCTGTAACGAAATACATGGCCTTATCGTTTTTCAGCCTTATTCTTCTTTCTTATCATTCATATTTAATGTATTTCTACCTTCTGTTTTGTAGCTGCTTACGTTTTATTGACTCTCAGGAGCAGTTTACAAGTCAGTGATTTATTATCTTTCACTTCTATTTGTGCTGACAGAGAACATCCCCATTTTTCAACTTGAAATTTAATGTGACGTAAAAATATTTGTGGCTGAAAATGTGAGGTGCACATTTAAGCCATGCTAAATGTTATTACATGGATTTTTAGAAAAAAAAGAGAAGAAAATTCATGGTTAAGGATGACACCCCATTTTCTGCTCATGAAATATTACATATTATTACATACTCAGCATAGACTGTGTATTAGCCATCACTGGTCAGAGGGCTGTGCAATGTCTGACAAGAAAGATCATCAAGGATTCAGGCCAGACTTTTGAAACTTAGGTGCCAGAAAGTGGGCATCCAGGATTTTTGAGCCAGGGATGAATTGAAGATCCTCTGAGCTTAAAAATATGGTACAGCGGGACCCGTGCACAGAAATAAAATTGTAATTTCACACAAGCTAGCAACTCAGAATGTCCCTTACATGGGGTGTAGCACTGTGTCACCTCCCAGGTATAGGTGCTAAGGAGTATGAGCAAAGGGCAGAGGCAGGAGTGACATGGGGGAGACAGGGACCAGCCACAAATGGCCGCTGCTATTTATCTCACTCTCTACAACTCCCTGAAAGGAGGTTGTAGTGGGGAGGGGATTGGCCTCTTCTCCCAGGTAACAGCGATAGGGCAAGAGGGAATGACCTTAAGTTGTGCCAGAGGAAATCCAGGCTGTATATTAGTGAAATGTTCTTCTCAGAAAGAGCAGTGAGGCAGTGGCACAGGCTGCCCAGGGAGGTGGTGCAGTCACTGTCCGTGGAGGTGTTGAAGAACCGTGTGGATGTGGCACTGAGGGATGTGGGCAGTGGGCATGGTGGGGGTGGGTTGGGGGTTGGACTAAGGTGATCTTAGAAAGCTTTTCCAACCTTAATGATTCTGTGATTCTGTGATTCTGTCCTGCTCTTTGCTCCTCTCTGCTTTGTATATGAGGTTTTTGGGGACAGGATAGGAAAAAACTTACCTTGCAGCTGAACTGACACAGCAAGATAGACTTTGGGCTGCATCTCCAGTCAGTCTGGGAGCTGCAGGCTGCTACCTAAAGAGCATTTTTCTAGGAGCAGCAATTTTACAGGATCAGCTGTTGGTTTCAGTGTGAACAGCTTGCACGGGATTTACTTACCGCATCCCTTTTCTACTGTCAAAGAAAAGGACAGAGCACAGATTGGAGCTCAAAGCGAGGGAAGGATGCTTTCAAAGAGAAGCTCTTAGCCTTGGCACTGCTCGAGGCAATTTGGGGGCTGTGGGCAGGGGATGTTGATGTGCAGGACAGGCTGCCAGTCTCTTGTTTTCCCAGGGTTTTGGAAAGGATGGGCGTAGACCTAACAGCATCCCCATTGTGTTTTGAAGGACTTTTAATAATGGGACTGAAATATGATCCTATGATCTACAGCTGCTTCTGGTGTGCCTCCCACCAGGACCTCAGGCCTGGGCTCACTGCAGTAGGCATGCAGTCTTCATAGGTACTCCAAGCCCCTGCACGTTGCACTACTTGCATTTTCCTCAGCCCCTCTCGCGTGCTCCTCCTTGGCTGCAGGCTCTCTCTGTCTCTGCACCGGAGGAAGTGAGACTTTGTATAGAAATCCTATGATCCAAGTCTACAGCTGATGCCTTCAGGCTGCTCAGTAGCTTAGGCAAAATCCTTCCCTGAGCTGCAGGCTGGATGCTGCAGGCTTGCTTGCTCACCTTGCCAGTGGCAGAAACAAGGAAGCGGGTTTGGGGAGTATTCCTAAACAGATCCACCACACTTGAATCTGCGGAAGTGGAACTTCCTACTGCCAGGGTCAGAGACAAAATAGTAGGCATTTCTGATGATCTTAGGTATGGAAAGGAAATATATCCTTCAAGCAAAACCAAACAAACCAAACCTCACCATCAAGAGGCAGCTATACGTATTTCCCCATTTGAATTTTCTCATCACCTGGTAGTGCTTGTTAGGGTTAAGACTAAGGTGTCCTGAGCACATTGGGTGGTGAGGCATTGGCACACGTTGCCCAGAGAAGTAATGGATGCCCTGTCCCTGGAGACATTCAAGGTCAGGCTGGACAAGGCTCTGAGCAACCTGGTGTAGCTGTAGGTGTCCCTGTTCACTATGGGGGAGTTGGACTGGATGGCCTTTAAAGGTCCCTTCCACCTCAAAGAGTTCTGTGATTCCTCTCACACTGCTCCCTGAAGGGTTCTTCTCGGTCCTTTCTCCACCTGATCCTCATTCTGCTTCTCCTTCCTATCAAGTTCTCTTGTGCCTCTGTAGATCTCGCTAAGTCCTTTGAGCTTTGCAGTGTCTAAATTCCCAGGTTAATACCTAATCTCTTTGTCTTCCTTCTAGTGAAAGTCTCCTCTTCCAAACATCCTCCTTGCAAACCAACTTTGCAGGGCTGGTTTTCCTCCCTCTCACTGCACTGTCATCCAACTTTGTAATTACTTCAAAGGAAGCAAATTTATGGGTGGATAAATTGTCACTGCACCTGACCCAGAAATCTTAAAATACTTTACCACTCTAAATAGGACCCATTTGTTCAGGACAGCAGAAAAACGTGGATGTTTGAGTTAGATGGGGAAAAAAAAAAAAAAGATAAGACTCCTTAGAACACCTCTAAAAGGACAAAAAGAAGAAAATAAATTAAAGACACTGAAAGACACTGCTCCTCTGTTGTTGTATGAGGGCACAATTCACTCTACATTGGATAAAAGACAACACAGCTTCCTACTTCCCATTCCTGTTCTGCACTGCCAGGTTAATTGTTGTCATTGTATTCCCCACAAGAGAAGCTTTGGCAGTGGTGCCAAATAAACCAGATTAGTGTTCAGGGGCATTTGCTCAAAGTGATGCCAAATCCATTCTTGATCCTAATTATATGAAATATGCTCCAATAATTTTCCACAAGGTGAATAAAAATAATGCCAGAACTGCCGCTTTCACTGAAGCTCAATTAGGAGGCATTCACTAATCCCAAGGCATGTCATAGCCTCTTCTGTGCAATTATATTCCCCTTTTTAGAAATTGATGTTTACCTAGAGAAGATGAATATCCTAATTCCTGGCACCAAAATGAGAGTGATATCAGGAGAGAGAGAAAAACATAGACAAGACCTGGCCCATATCCCAAAGTTAGGCAGGCTGACCTTTGGCTTCAGTTTCCACAGAAAAGCTGTTGTTTCTTTACAGTTCCAAGCTGTAAAGATATGAGATATGCACCTGAATACAACACATTCCTGAATCTAAAAGAGGAAAGAAAAAGACACTTAGAAAATAAAGTCAGATTAAACCAGTTATGTATGCTTTGCTGGTTGTGGAACATTTCCCATAGTGTACAATACTATGTTCTGCAATGAATTTCTGATTTCATAATGACTGATTTGCAGCAACTGACAAATAAAGAAATATGTTTCAGTCATTCACAATGAGCAGTTGCAAATTTGGAGTGATGTTTAAACTACTGAAACTTCATTGTAAAATTGAGGAGCATTCTGCTACCATATAAGCATAATGAGATGTGCTTTGATTGCATATGAAAAAAATAATTCCTTTACATCTGGAACTGGAAGAGGATGGACAAACACATTTAGCAAAACGCTGTAATGGCAAATTAGCTTGATGGTCTGTAGTTGGCATATAGAAGGTGTTATCTTGCAGGATGCTCAAAGCACTTTTTTTTTTTTTTTTTTTTTTTTTTTCCCCATCACAATAAAACTGAAGCTTTCTCAGTTTTAAGAACATGTGACTTTGCCCTTCTTTCTTAATGCCTTTTGCTTTTGAGGAAAGTCACATAAATAACAATGTTAGTATTTGGGAAATGGGCCTGACTTCATTTACCCTCTTTCCCATTTTTGAAGTTTCTTCCACCTCCAGAACTGCTGGAGAGATCAGATTTATTGGTTGTCTGACATGTTGGCTAGCCCACAGCCTAATCTTCAGGACCATGTACTGGTCAGTACGTGACAGAGCGAAACCTGACTCTTAAAGACAACTACAAAATTGTTCCGATGAGTTAGTGGGTTCATGGTGAGAGCATTCATATGCTCACAGAGCTCTCTTCAACTGCTAGGAGTGATCTGCTCTAAACTTCAGCTGCTGGTCACAACACCATTTCCATAGCTCCATCCTCCCCAGTGGGAAAACAATGTATATTGATTAAGGAAAAAACAGATCCACTTCCTTCTCCTCTCTATGTATGCTGGGTTCTGGTGCACTTGCCCAACCCCACCACTCTGGCAGGATTTGGGAAGTAGATGACAAACAATAAGTTGATGCACTTGTACAGGCTATTGTTTTTCCCTTGGCAGAAGTCCCAAAAAGATTTCTATTA